GATAATCTTCAGTAGAATCTTGCTTGCATGTGAAATCAATGACACTGTTCTGTAGTGTCCACACTCAGTTGGGTCACCTTTCTTTGGAATGGGAACAATTATTCAGCATACAGATTGAATATGTATAAAGGATACAACTTTTCCTGATTTTAAATAATGTGTTGCCTTGACTTATTATGACCCTGTAACTACGAGTGAAGTCAATATAGCTCATGTTGCTGTTGTTGGGTGCCATCGAGTCGTAGACAACTCATAGCGACCCTATGAATAGAGCTCATAGTGACCATATAAAGAACAGATCTGAATCTTGCCCTAATCCTGCACCATGCTTACAATTTTTGACGTGCTCAACCCCATTGAGCATCACTGGCTCAGTGAATCACTTTGAAGGTCTTCATCTTTTTCTTGGATTTTCCACTCTTCCCTATGGTGATGTCTTTTTTCAAGGTCTGGCCACTCCTATTAACATGTCCAAAGTAGGTGAGACTGAGTTTCATCATACTAGTAGAAGAAAGATGTACAATTCCTTTCCATAAAGATTTACAGCTTCGGAAATCTGATGGAGTTGGAATGACAGTTTGGTTAGGATTGGCAAATAAATGATGGCTGCTTTGAGTCAATCCAACTTGTTGCCTTTGAGTCTGAACCAACTCATACCACCTCCTCCAGTGGGTTTTCAGAGACTATAAATCAAAGGAGGGGAGATTGCTCATCGTTCTCCCAAAGACTACTTGATTTGTTATTGTCTGTGGGAGAAAGATGGGTAATCTCCTACTCTGTGATTAAGTGGGGATGTGCAAATCACATTTTTAAAAAGCAAATATGATGATTATAAATATGTAATTAACAGAAATTCATTTTACTCCATCATTACATTTTAGAAAAAGAAATGGCTTCTTCTTTAATTCTTTTACTGATTTACCTAGTCTCCCAATGTCATTTCATCCAATTCCATGCATTCTTAAAAAAAATATTTTTATTGGTTAACTTACAAAGTTCTTATACATTATTTTTCCACACAGAATCTTTCCCATTTCCTTGACCCACCCCTCCCTCTACCCATCAAATTGTGAGACCCTATGATTACTCCCCACCTATCTTCACCCTTCTGCTCCTTCCCTATCCCCCATCCTCATATACATTTTTCTCCTTATCAATCTATGTCTACAATAATGGCCTTATCCATTTTTTGTGTGCTTATGCTACCAACTCCCACATTTCTTTCTTCAATCTTGCCTTCTCCCTGAGTTCAGGCAAGCTAGTCATATTGGTATTCCTTTCTTGATTATTTAAAAACTCAGTGACAGAAATGGAGCTGGAGAGAGAATGATCAAATTTTGCACAATCAATGACTTATTCATAGCAAATACATTTTTAAAGAGACATAAAAGCAGGTTATATACCTGCATTTCACCTGATGGTATGCATAGGAATCAGATCGATTACATCTGTGGAAGGAATC